CAGACTTTGTGATCTAGAGAGTAGACATTAAATGTATGATTTGGTGGGAAGAGTGGACAGGAATGTGTGTGCGTGCGCGTGTGCGAGAGAGATGGAGAGAGATGGACACAAAGGAGTACCTGAGAAGAAAGGTTTGAATGAAAAAACAGCAGAGATCAGCATCCTTAAATTAAATAAAAATTAGGGCATTTTGATGGCACATTTACCCAGGTTTCCCATATATATCTGTATAATAAATAGGTATAGTTATTTTGCATTTTGATCCAGAAACAACTTTTTCATTTTTCAGAATTCTCAATGGAAATAATTTGAATTATGAAGGATTCATTTGAAGGTATGCTTTCCCTTCAGTATTTGTAAGTTAATTATATTTATTGATGAGTTTTTAGTTATTATCTATAAAATAAATAAGGGGTTCAATTAAGATAATCTCTCTAATTTCTCCCAGCAATAAAATTCTGCAATTCGGTAAGTTTGTGTAGGGCTCCAGCTCATCTCTAGCATTAACTATCTCCTATCCATTTTCAGTTTTTTAATCGTATAGAAAAGATATAGATAGGAAAAACTTCTGTTATAGAGGAAAAGTGGTAATGATGTCTGAGTAATAATAAACACTCATATGAGCCTAGTTATATTAGTGTTCATATATCCCTGAATAAACTACAGCTCCTCCAAAGCACCCTGAGGTGATACTTCCATATCCAGAGCCTATTCAGGCTCAGCAGCCAAACTTGACTGAAGTCACAGTTCAGTCTTTAAGCATGAAGATCACCAAAACTACAGAACCTACCCTGAATATATAGAAATTTCAATCCAGCAGAAGAGCTCAGCCTTGATTCACATGTGTCTGGCTGGTGTATAACCTCCTCTAGTCCAGCAGAAGGGTCAAGCTCAGCTTCAAAAATCCTCTATGGATGTCATAGCCCAACCTTCAGTACATCACGAGGTGACAGTCACGTTTAGGTTCAGGTGAAGCTGAGCATTAGGGGTTGCCTAATATCAATTTAAAGATGTGTATCTGGGGCCTTTGATAACTTCAGTGCACCCTAAGAAGATTGAACCATATGCACCTGAGAAGGAGATCTCAATTTGTCTTCCAAAGTCCACTAAAGAGGACAAACCTCCATCCCAGCAGAAGACCCAAAACCTACTTCTGAGGATGATGCTACAGCCAGCCCTTCAGTAGACTACATCTCCTCAAAGCACCCAGAGGTGACACTTCCACCTCCAGATCCTAATTAGGCTTAACAGCCAAACTTGACTGAAGTCAGTTCAATCTTTAAACATAGAGATCATCATAACTCCAGAATCTATCCTGAATATGTTGAATTTTCAATCCAGCAGAAGAGCTTGGGTCTGCCTCACATACCTCTTGCTGGTGAACATCTTTCTCCACTCCAGGAGAAGGGTTGAGCTCAGCCTCAAAAATTCTCTGTGGATGTCGTAGCTCAACCTTCAGTTGGCTGATGCTACTGTACTGCCTATGACTGCAGGTCCTCCATAGCTCCCTGAGGGGACACTTCAATTTCTAGAGCCTGTTCAGGCTCAGCAGCCTACCTGACCTGAAGTCGCAATTCAGCTGATGGACCTGGAGCTCACCATGACTCCAGAACCTTCTTCAGAGGCTGATGTTATTGCCTGTAGCAGACTATAGCTCCTCCAAAGCACCCTGAGGTGGTACTTCCTTATCAGAGTCTCTTCAGCTTCAGCAGCCAAATGTCTCTAAGAAGTCTCCTTTCAATGTTTGGTCCTTGAGCTAACCATCACTGTGGAAGCTATTTCAGAGTCAGAAGGTAGAGCATTGATGCAGAATCTAGCTCCTCTAAAACAATGTGAGGTAACAATTCGATATCCAGAGCCTATTCAGACTCAGCAGCTAACTTTGTCTGAAGTCCATTTTAACTGTTGGCCTTGGAGCTCACCATCACTCCCTGACCTACTTCAGAGGTCTATGCTACAGCTATGCAGCGCACTATAGGTCCTCCAAAGCACCCTGAAGTGACACTTTCATATCCACAGCCTGTTCAGGTTTAGCAGCCAAACTGGACTGAACTCACATTCAACCTGTAAACATGAAGTTCAACATAACTAGAACTGATGGTGAATATGTTGAATTTTCAGTCTAGCAGAAGAGATCAGCTTTGACTCACATGCCTCTAGCTGGTATACAGCCTATTCCAGTGCAGCAGAAGGTCGAGCTCAGCCTCCAAAAGCCTCTTTGGATGTCGTAGATCAACCTTGTGTACATCATGAGGTGACAGTCTCGCCTCTAGATTTGAGTGAAGCTTAGCATTAGGGGTTGCCTAATATCTATGTTAAAGATGTGGATCTGGGGGTTTAATAACTTCAGGGCCCCCTAAGAAGAATAAATAATCTGCAGCTAAGGAGAAGGTCTCAAATCAGGCTCCAATGTCCACTAAAGAGGTCAAATCTGCATCCCAGCAGGAGACGCCAGCTCAGCTTACTTCAGGGACTGATGCTAGAGTTCTGCAGCACAATACAGCTCCTCCAAAGTTCCCTGAGTGACACTTCCAATTCCAGAGACTGTTCAGGCTCAGCAGCCAAGTTTGTCTGAAATCAAATTTCAACCATTGGACCTGGAGCTTGCCATCACTCCAGAACCTATTTAGGAGGCAAATGCTACATCCCTGCAGCAGACTACCGCTACTGCAAAGCACCTTGAGGTGACACTTCCACAACCAGAGCCTGCTCAGGCTCAGTAGCCAACTGTAGTCAATCGTTTCCAGCATGAAATGGAAGCTTCTCCTCTGTGACCTGACCTCTGCCTCCCTCTTTGGCCACATCCCTTGCTACCTCCAAATTTCCTGGAAACCAAGATTCAGCCCTCTTGGAGTTTACATGCTGGAGGTTGTGCCAGGCAGTAAACAAGGCATAAAATAAAATAGAATATAAAAAGGACTGTGAAGGAAGCAAATGGAGTGCCAGTTACAGTATTTCAAAAAAATTATTTAACATGCTGGCTTTTAACACCCTAAGTGTCTTCTCCATGTGTGCACACAGGGTAGACCTCAGAAAAGTAACACTGTTACTTTTCTAGATTAATGGCTGTGTTGAGCCGAAGTGGGAGGGGGGCATGTTTTCCCATGCCACTGTAAAGGGTTATTCACTTGGTTTCAGATGCTCTTTCCCAGAATGAATTGCTCACCCTCCAAAACCCCATGTACAGATTCAGTGGTAGCGCCTGTCAGAGTGGTGAATTAAGAATCAGACATGGAGCCCTGGCCGGATGTCTCAGTTGGAGCATTGTTCCGTGTACCAAGGGGTTGGGCGTTTGACTTCTGGTCAGGGCACATACCTAGGTTGTGGGTTTGATCCCTGGTTGGGGCGTATATGGGAGGCAACCCATCGATGTTTCTCTCTCTCTCTCTCTCTCTCTCTCTCTCTCTCTC